AATGGATCAAATTTATTGCATTCGAGATGATCTGGATTGTACATTGATTGCGTTTATTCGCCCAATGAATTAGCGTTTAATTATAAATATCTGAGTTCAGTTTATGATCGATTTTGTGCTTTAATTTCACTCATTGCACACATCTTCTATTCGTACCGTTGCAAATAATATTTTACCGAACATTTGGAAGTTTATGCTAACTCTTTCGAAGACTGAGCAACTCATCATGCCGTATTGCATGAAAAATATTTTGCTTGATCGATCCCCTGCGACAAAACTTCCTTATGGAAATGTGATTTCTTAGATTATGTAACCACTCGTTCCTCTCCTCAAATCGCTCACAACTCAGTGACATAAATTCACGAAGTTTTGATTCTTGACTTTCCAGTCAGTAATAGCATTGCCATGCTTTGTGGGATTGTTTTCTTGTCCGGTTTTTCATCGAAATGTTTTCCTGCCAACATTTCGAGTGTCTCTGATTTAGTCTTTGAAAACAATCAAGATGACATGATCAATGATCACAATTCAAGAGACGCAAACCGCAGATTACTGATTCCTTCGAACTCGTCACGCTTGATGCTGAGTATGAATTGATTCATATGGATTGCGAATTATGAATCTATTCAAACGCTTNATTCCTTCGAACTCGTCACGCTTGATGCTGAGTATGAATTGATTCATATGGATTGCGAATTGTGAATCTGTTCAAACGCTTGAGCAAAGGGGAATTAACTGTGAGAGTCCGATGCATTCATATCATGAGATTGTTCATTTTATCTTCGTTTATACATCTTGAGCCAGTCTAACCAGCAGCTTCATTCTAATATGACGAGTTTTAATAGTTCTGTTTGTAGGGAACGTCGGTCAACTGTTGAACATCTGCAGCGACGAATGAAAAAACTCGAAACTGAGAACATCACCTTGCGAAATGAAGTAAGTCAATTTGCCACTCTCTGGAATAATTATTTCTTTACTCAGAAACATATCTGCTTCAGGTTCCTCGATCTGCTTTGATTGATTCGTTTCATGTTTTTCAACAAAAAGTAAGAAACATGAGCAACATTCTGTCAAGACATTTTAATTCTTCGAGTTCCTTGTTCCAAATGGAAAGTGACATCCATAAAAGCGTTCAGAGTCATATAATATTTCCTTACAATTAGGATAGTGAAGTTGTTTTGCATTCTTTGAGTGCAATTTGAAGGTGTTTCGCTGCAGTTGAGGGCAATGTTGTAATGTTGTTGAAGATGTTTTCGCAATAGACTTGTATCCTTTCCGAAGCAACGTTCTGAAGAGTTGTAAACTTAAGAATTGGTAGATCACTCGATGCACTTTTGTGGTTGATTACTGTTGTTGTTGGTTGTTGTTGTTGATAAACTCATCTGTCAACAGCGTATTTTTTGCATCCATCAATTGGCGTCATGCTGTCATTCTCAATTAATCTTCCCAATGTCGTACACGCAAACGAATTTCAATTTAGACCAAAAAAAACTTTTTGGGTGTTCTTTGAGTGGACAATTAGATTGTTCGCAAACTTTTGTTCGTAAATAACGACAACTTTTACTAAGGAGCTTTTTCATCAGAAGTTTTTGAGAAATTGAAACACTAACAAGCATTGCTCAACGATTTTTCGCTAGGCAGTCAGTGACTTAGATAGCCTATGAAAAA